AGGAGGCGGAGGAGGCGGAGGAGGCGGAGGAGGCGGAGGAGGAGGAGGAGGAGGAGGAGGAGGAGGAGGAGGAGGAGGAGGAGGAGGGCGTGGCCGCCCAGGCGACGACGGCGGACTTCGAGAGAGCAGGGCGGTGGGGCAACGCATTGGTGCGGAAGGGCGCGGGCCCGAGAGCGGCCGCGCCCAGCGCCTGCGGCGGCAACCAGGCCGCGGCGGCCCGGGAACGCGCGGGCGCACAGGCTCCCGAGTGCGGGCGAGAGGCCCGTGCTCGGGAAAACAGGGAATGCATCGGGGGGAAGCGGGATCCCACCCGCGCAGTGGAGAGATTGCCACTGCTGCGGGAGGCCGGGCGGCGAGTGCGAGAGGCACTCGAATCTTTCGTGAGTCGGCACGCGTGGGTCGTGCATGCTTTATTGGAGCAAAAAGCCGCAGGTTGGCGGCGAGTCGAAGGGGAGTTGGGCAGCGAGCTGCTCGCGACCCTGCAAGGCGCGTTGGGCGCCACGTCCGTAGAAAGACGGCGCTGTTCCTCGTGGAGGGCCGGCCTGGTCCAAAGTTTCTCGGACCTCGCGCGGGGTCCGGACAAAGAGTTTCCAGCGTGGCTGCACCATGGCGCCCCGACGGGCGTTGCCTGCGAAATCCCGGCTTCCAGCGTATTCCCGAGAGTGGAATCGTCAGGGGCAGCACTTCGAAAACTCTCGGCCGTGGAGCCCGGCGAAAACTACAGCAACATACAGGACAACCAGGCCACGGTCTCGGTGGAGCTCCGGCGTCTCGAGGAGAAGGGGTTCGTTTCCAGGTGCCCGTCGTGGGCGGCTCTCCTCGAGCGTTTCGGGCAAGTGGTGGTGTCCAAGATGGCCGCTGTCGTCAAAGTGCGGCCCGACGGATCGGAGAAACTTCGGCTCATCATCGACATGCTTCGCAGCCGCGTCAACGAACACGTCAAGCTGTCAGAGAGGGTCGTGCTCCCGCGGCTTCTCGACATGGTCAAAGACCTTATGGAATTGATGGAACTGCGCGGACACGGCGACCCAGGCATCGACATGATGGTGTTGGACTGGGAGGACGCCTTCCACTCCTTGGGGTCACGCGCGGAGGAGCACCCGCACCAGATCGTAAAAGGCTCTGGCGGGGAGTGCATCGGCTACGAAACCGTCCTGTTCGGTGGTGGCTGATCGCCGCTGGTGTGGGGAAGGGCCGCCGCGTTCCTCGGCTGGTCTGGCCAGGCGCTGTTCGCGCCGGCCGAGGCCCGCCTTCAGGTCTGCGTCGACGACCCGTGGGCAGCGTGGGCTGGGAGCGCCGCGGCCCGGGCTCGCAACAAGGCCGTCCTCCTTCTGTGGTGGTTGGCCATCGGTCCGCCGATCTCTTGGCGCAAGCTGCAAACAGGCACGGGCGTGTCGTGGATCGGTGCCGAGATCCAGGCTCGCGGAGCAGACTCGGTTGCCCTCGTGCTCCCTGGTGCCTTCGTGGCCGACATGGAAGCGCTAGTCGTGGAGCTCCTGAGCAGGACCCTCATCCCGTTTGCGCGTCTGTGGAGGCTGGCTGGGAAGGCCGCCTGGGCAGGGGGCATCGTTCCTTGAAGGGCATGGTTGCCCCGCTGTGGGCAGCAATGGCAGATGTGTCCGTGGAGACCAAGCCAGGGCGAGCGCCCCCGGCGGTCCCGCGCCCTCGCGTGGCCCACGCCTTGCGGTGGCTCCTGGCCTTCACCCGGCGCCAGAGAGGCTCGCTGGAGAGGGTGTACTGTGTGGCGCAGTGCAGGCAGCCGGCGGCAGTCTCCCTCGTGTTCGACGCGTCGCCGTGGGGTTTCGGGGGCTACCTGGTTGTCCGCGGGCGCGTGGCTTCGTGGTTCGCCGAACCCGTCTCGAGAGAAAACATAGACCGATTCGGCATCGTAGTCGGCGGCTCCCGGCATCCAGCGCTGCTCGAGACCTTGGCCATCCTCATCGGCGTGCGCCTCTGGCTGCCGTCGTGGAAGGCCGACAGGGCCGCTATATCTCTCAGGAACGACTCGCAGGTTGCACAGGGGGCGGTCTCCAACCTGAAGTCCTCGCGCTCGGAGGTAAACCGTGTCGTGCGGGAGTTAGCGCTCGACCTCGCGGAGGGGCGGTATCGCGTGGATATCGTCGGGCACCTGCCGGGAGAGGAGAATGCCTGGGCGGGCGCCCTGTCTCGGCTGCACCAGCCCGGGTCGGGGGCGACGGTCCCCGCAGCGTTGCGGGCGGCGCCGCGGGCGTACCCGGACCGGCGGTCGGAGGCGTGGTGGGAAACCGTCGGAGATCCGGCGCCCGATAGCGGCCCCGCTCCTTCGGGCCCTGCCAATTCGTGATAATGCTGCTGCTGGTGGTCGGCGCCGCGCCCGTTCAGGCAGGCCGCCTTCCATTTGGGCAGGCGCTGGTCAACGTGGATCCGTTGAGCGTGCCGGGGCCAGGCGTCTGCGCCCGGGGTGGGTCAGCAGTGCGGAGGGCGCTGCGGCGAGGGGGCGCGGCCGCAGCGGTGGTGACCGCGGGCGCTGCTGCCGTGAGCGCCGCAGCCGCGGGAGCTGCGGCCGCGGCGCGTCGCGACGGCCGGGAGCGCCACGGCGCGCCAAGCGAGGCGGAGTCGGCGGCCGCCCTTGCCCCCCCCCCCCGCGCCCGCCCGGGAGCGGCCGGGACAGCAGCGGCGCTGCGGAGGACGTCGGCGTAGACACCCGGGGCGTGCGGCGCCCGCGTGCAGCCGGGCTCCAGGCGTACTCGCGAGGCGCACTGCAGGTCGCGCTCGGCCTCGTCAGGTCCGAGAAAGGGCGTGCCAAGGCACGCCGGCTCCTGGAGCGAGACGTCTACGCCAAGACGACCCGGTCGTCCCGCAGGTCGCGAGAGTCGGTCCTGCGGCGGCTAGCAGCAGGCGCGGAGATGGACCTAGTGCTTGCGACGCCAGAGAAGCTGGCCACGCTCGCCGACGCTTTAAAAGAGGCGGGCTACAGGACAGGTCCCGCCTACCTGTCTCTGTGGAAGCAGCTACATTGCAAGGCCGGGCAGGCGTGGTCCCCTGACCTGGTCGCCGCCATGTGCGAGGCGACCCGCAGCCTGCAGCGGGGTCTTGGTCCGGCGCGCAGGGCGCCAACCATCCACCTCGAGCGCATCATGGCCCTGCCGAGAGCTCAGGAACCAGCGACTGCGGGGGACCCTACTGCCCCGGTGGACACTGTCGTGGTCGCATCGGCGTGGATGCTTCGCGGCGCGGAGGTCGCGGCCATTCTGGGTGAGCAGGCGCAGGTGGAGCCCGACGGGAGTTCGGCTGTCATCCAACTGGGCGCAACCAAGTCGAACCCGGAGGGCCGCGACTGTTCGCGCAGATTGTTGTGTTTCTGCGACGTGCAGTCTGCCGACGGGCTCGCAGCGCAGGCGGGCCCAGTGCACGCCCCAGCCAGGGTCCTCCGAGAGCGGGGGCGCCGCGGGATGGACGGGAAAGAGACGCCATGTTTCACATCGATTTCTGGGTCACGCGCTGCGGGTGGAGGTTCGGCCACTCGCGTCACACCAGGTGCGCAGTGGTCAACGTCACGTGCAAGAAGTGCGTGGCGGCAATTTGGAAAGCCGCCGGGCAAGTGGGAGGGCCGCCGCCCTGCCCCGAGAAAGGGCGGGCGAGGCCAAAGGCCCGGCGGCTCAATTGAGGGAGCGCGCATTCGGCCACCCACGGAAAACAGTGCAGTGGCGGCGGCGGCGGTGTTGCTGGACAGCACGCTTGCGGGCGCACTAGCAACACAGCTGAGCGAGCACGCATCGAGACCGGGTGCGTGCGGGAGCCACGGCACTGGGGAGGAGGATCGGTTTCGCAGCAGTCAGGGAGTGAGGGGCGAATTGCATGTGAGGGGTGACTTGCATTGCTTGCAGTTTTCGTATTCCGCATTTGTCGTCTTGTCTTGCCCACATTTGTGTGCAGCCACGTATGTAGGTTTGCTTTTCCCGGATGGACCAGTACACCCAAAGCAGGGCCTTGAGGGGAGGCCTCTTGCGGATCGGCCGGTGCGCCCAAGTCGGGCTTCGCGGCTGCATTGTTATGTGGTGCATGCTTTTGCGTCTCTGGGAGTTTCCCTGGCATGCTTCCCAGGGGGGCCAACGCGCGTTCAGAGCAGTTGTCGGCTCTAGCGCGCGCTGGTGGGCATTTAAGACCCACGCCGCCCACCCTGATTCCTTTAAATGCCTTGAGAGAGTCGGGAGGGCCGCCGCCCTGCCCCGAGAGTGGGCGGGCGAGGCCAAAGGCCCGGCGGCTCAAATGAGGGAGCGCGCATTCGGCCACCCACGGAAAACAGTGTAGTGGCGGCGGCGGCGGTGTTGCTATGCTGATGCTGCTGATGATGATGCTGCTGCTGCTGCTGATGATGATGATGATGATGATGATGATGATGATGATGATGCTGATGCTGCTGCTGATGAGGATGATGATGATGATGATGATGAGGATGATGATGATGATTATGATGATGATTATGATGATGATGATGATGATGATGATGATGATGATGATGATGATGATGATGATGATGATGATGATGATGATGATGATGATGATGCTGTTGCGGCTGCTGCTGCTGATGATGATGATGATGCTGGTGCTGGTGCTGATGCTGATGCTGATGCTGATGATGTTTGTGGCGGTGGGTGGGTGGTAATCATGATTCTGATGATGATAACGAGATGACGATGTCCACGCTGGCCAGGGGCGTGGGTTGTGCCTCGGCGCCCTCAGTCCCACAGGTGCCCAGGGTCTCCGTCCTGCCCCATAGAGGCCCTGGCCTGCGCACCAAGGAGGCTGGCTGATGCGTGGCCAGCCCCTTGGCGAGGCCCCGGCCGATCCCCAGCCTCCGAGGCGAGGGCCGCGACAGCCGCCGCGGGCAGCAACATGCCGCCGGTGGAGGGGCAGCCGAAGGGCAGGCAGCCGGGCACCATCAGCGAGGCGGCGGGGGCTGTGAAAGGGATAATCTGGGTGAGGGATGGGATGCCGGCCGTGAAAGGGATATTCAGGGTTTCGGGAAAAGCGCTGGGGGACGCCAGCCCCGCCGACAGTACCAAATCGACCATTCTCGAGGACAACCGACGCGGGCCGAAGGCGCGCCGACCCCCAGCGCCGCGCGCCAACGTGGCGAGGTTGACCCCGCGGGGGGGGGGCGGGGTGGGGCGCATGCCTTCTCCAGGAAAGGGTCGGTTCGGGTTTTCGGCGGCGGACTGGTTTTGTTGCGCTGGCTCGGTTTCAGCGGCGGGGCGGTTCGAGCCAGTTCGGTCTCGGTATGGTCATTCGGACGGGTTCGGGCAGTTTGTTTCGGGCCCAGGTCCCTCTGGAGCCCTCTGGGCCCCTTCGGGCCCCGTCGGCCCCCTTCAGGCCCCTTCCCCTCTGGACCCCCCGGCCCCTTCGGGCCACAGGCTTCCAGGAGACTCCAACAGGTCCGCCCGCCTCCGTTTCTACGTGCTCGGAAATGTTTTTCCGGGGCACGTACCCAGGTCGGCCTCAGAGGGCTTCCACCATCGCTCCCAGATGCCCCAAGAGGTCTCCCAGAGAACGCCAAGGGGACCCCGAAGGGCACCACGACGCCCCAAGACGCCCCCAAGGCGGCCTCAGATGCTTCCGACGGCTTCGAGCTATGTGCCCCCACATGGCCCCAAAGAGTCTCCCAGGCATCCCGGAGGCGCCCCTTGGAGGACCTTTGACGCCCCAGACGAGGTGCCCCCCCCCCCGCAGAGGATCTGAGACGCCCCCAACAGGCTCCCAGGTGACTCCACGAGGCCCGCCAGCCCCCGTTTCCACGTGCTCTGGAAACGTCTCAGGATGTCGGTCGGACCCTCCCTGGGGTGCTCTCAATTTGAGCGTGCCCCGGACACGTCCCTCCGAAGCACGGCGAATTTCCTTAATTAGCACCCGTGTCCGCCGCCCAAGGGAAGCCCCGCCAAATTCCATGACGGTCTCGAAGACACCAAGGGACGCTCCAAGATTACCACATAGCCTCCAGCGTGGCCAAATCTACCGGAATGGACCCACACAGAGGTCCAGGAGTCGTCTTTGAACTGACCTTGTTCGCCGTCGTCGCACGTCGTCACCGTCGATCGATCGATCGAGGGTGCAGGTTTCAGACCACTTCGCGAGTGCTTGTGGGAATCTCTTTTGTATGTCCTTTGGACCTTTGGACCCTTCTTCGAAGTATTTTGAGTTGTCGGGGGAGCCGGCGGTCCAGGGTCTTCCTGGGAAGTTTCTGGTCTCTCCAGGAGAAGCTTCTTCGGGCAACTTAGGTTCCGCGAGGGTTTTCGTCTGGGGCCTTTGTGGTAGCGCCTTCCCGCTCTCTTCGGCCACTTCGCCTGGTCTGGATCGGCCATCTGAGTTGGGCGACGTTCGCATAACGCCCCCTGTCACGTTCCGTTGGACGGTCCAGTTCGCCTGGGTGAGTTGTGCACTCCATTGTCCAATTGCCCTCTATGTCACGGAATCGTGAAACAGAGCCATACTGCTCAACCCTCACCACGGCAAGAAAGCGGGTCGATCCGCCCATTGCGGCTTCCTGTGCAGATGACCGTGCTCGGTCACATTCGTTACCATCATGGCCTTGCTGCTTCCTCAATGGCGATCCCAGGTTCCACTCCGTGCGTCGCCGCTGGTTGACGGCGCGCAGAGGTGGGCAGTGGGAGGGGGATCCGGGATAAGGTTTCTTGGAAGGAGGCTGCTTCTCAGAAGGCGCGCGCCCGCTCTGCGCGTGGCTAAGCTGGCTAGGACTTCAGCTAGAACAGAAGCGCGCGCGAAGCGCGCGCGATGGTTCCATGGTGTGCCATGTTCCGATTCTTGTATATTGACTACCTGGACCCCCCCCTAAACCGGACCCCTCCGGGGACGCTCCAGACGCCCTTTCGGACGTCTCGGCGGCCCCTTGGACGCCCTTGGAAAAGGTTCGGTGGCCCTTCCGGGCCTCCCAGGGTGCCTTGCTGGACCTTGCGAGCCGACTCAAGCCGATCAGAGGGGTCGTCGGAGAGGCGCAAGATAGACCCAAGACAGCACAAGAGCGCTCCAAGAGGAACCTCGATGGTCTGAAGACGGCCCAAGAGGCCCCCAAGACACCCCAAGGGGCCGTTAAGAGAGCCCCGAAGAAGCCAAAACCGTCCCATTCCCGCAGGACATATTCCTTTTTTATTTTTTTGTTTTTTACAATCCGGGCGGAACGCGAAAGGGGTCCCCCCCCCACCCAAAACCGGACTCCCGGGATCTGGGGCTTTGGGACCCTCTGGACGGGCCTCGAAGCGGCCCCCTGGGCCTCGCAGGGCGTTTTGCCAAGCCTTCCCAGCACACTTAAGGCGATCAGGGGGGTCATCGGAGACGTCCCAGAGACCCCCAAGACAGCACAAGAGCGCTCCAAGAGTGACCGACGTGACCTCCAGATGGCCCAAGAGGCCTCCAGGACGGTCCCAAAGAGGCCTCCGAGAGCATTCCCAAGAAGGCCCCAAGGGGCAAAAATCATTGATTTTCTGTTGGTTTTTGGTGAATTTGGGGGTTCTCCTTTTTTCGGCTTCCCGACGTTCCAAGACGGCGGTCTTCTGGGCGTCCGAAGCCGCCTGGGAGGCTGCAAAATCGCCCCACAACCACCCGAAAGGGCTTCCAGGCAGTTCAAGAGAGCCCCAAAACGGCACAACACGGGTCCAAGATGGCCCTCAGAGAGCCCCATGGCGGCCCAAGATGGCCCCAAAACACCCTCCGAAGCATTCCAAATCGTGACCTGGTCGTTCAGGGAGACCGCGGTTGGAGGCCCGAGGAAGCCCCCAGAGGCCCCCAGAATACGCCCAGGAGGCCTCCAGATGGCCTTAAGAAAGCCTGAAGCAACTATTGTGAGGCCCTCAGAGGCTCTCCAAGGAGGAGCCTCCGCAACATGATGGACCCACGAACCCAGAAAGGGATATAGAACCGCATGCATGGAAACGTTTTCACGACACCGTATTGGGCGACGGGCACTTCCACGAGACACCCCGCGAAACATTCCACGAGACACGGGCGACCGTTTTCAACGTTTTCCTAGAAACATTCCACGAGACACCCCGCGTAACAGTCCACGAGACAGCCCACGAAACATTCCACGACGACAGGCAACCACTCAACCAAGGCGGTGTGGTCGTGCTGGGGAGTGGTCGTGCTGGGAGGTGGTCGTGCTGGGGGGTGGTCGTGCTGGGGGGTGGTCGTGCTGGGGCGCCCAGATCCTTCAAGTACTACAAAACAAGCGATTCGCTCGAGACATCCTCGGTAACTCTGCGGAGCAAGCGTTTCGCTCGAGGCATCCTCAACACACGAAAGAGTGGCCCGCACCCTGTGATTTATCGATCGGGATTTCAAAAACAAGCGTTTCGCCTGAGACATCCTCAAATTTTAATCCGCCAGCCCACCTTGACTTCGATATTCATCAGGGAAAGAACCTGACCGGACAAGAACGGGAAGCGTCGCTTTAGTCCACCAAGCATGAGGAAAATGCTCTGTTGTTGTTATGCCGCGCAGGTATGCCGTGGCGCGCGTGTCGGCGTGCGTGCGGGGTGTGTTTTGCTGTGCTTCTGTGTGTTCTGCCGTGCTCCTGTTCTGCCGTGTTTCTGTGTTCTGCCGTGCCTCTGTGTGCTCTGTGTGTTCTGCCGTGTTCCTGTATCTGCCGTGCGGATCGTCGCGGTGGTCGTTTTGGCAGAGCTTCTGGGCGCACACGGCAGAAAAATATCAGGAGCACGGCAGAATAGGCCCCAAGAGCGAAGGAGCACGGCAGAGAACAAGGAACACGGCAGAATAGACCCCAAGAGCAAATGAGTACGGCAGAATACACCCCAAAAGCTAAGGAGCACGGCAGAAAATGACCAGGAGCACGGCAGAATAGACCTCAAGAGTTAAGGAGCAGGCAGAAAAAGACCAGGAGCACAGCATATTAGGCCCCAGGAGCGAAGGAGCACGGCAGAAAAAGACCAGGAGCACGGCAGAATAGACCCCAGGAGCTAAGGAGCAGGGCTGGATATGCCTCAAGTGCGAAGGAGTACGGCAGAGAAAGACCAGGAGCACGGCAGGATAGACCCCAAAAGCTAAGGAGCACGGCAGAGAATGACCAGGAGCACGGCAGAATAGGCCCCAAGAGCGAAGGAGCACGGCAGAACATGATCGACCCACGAACCCGGAAAGGAATTTAGAATTGTAACACATGGCAGCGTTTTCAAAGACACCTGATTGGGTGATGGGCAAATGCAATGCTGAAGGTATCGATCTTGATGTACCGTGCCGAAATCTGTGCTGTGCTGCGCCGTGCTGAATTGCGATGTGCCATGGCGCGATTGTGCTCTATAGCCTCGTGGATCGAGTCCTCCTTTGCATCCGAGTCCTGACCGAACTGATCTGGATCTTAAGCTCGAGCTGCCTGAACACATAGTAGCTGCCCCAGAGCTAATGGACAGGGGAACATGCCAGGAGGACGCGCCGCGAAACGTCCCAAGGGATGCGCCAGGCGACGTGCCAGGGGACGTGCCATGGGGTCGCACCGCGGGACGTGCCAAGGGGACGCGCGACGGAACGTGCCAATGGATGTGCCACGGGATGTGCCAGGGGACGCGCCACGCGACGTGCCAAGGGGACTCGCCAAGGGACGCCCCACGGAACTTGCCAAGGAACGTGCCAAGTTGCAATGCTGAAGGTATCGATCTTGATGTACCGTGCCGAGGGCTGTGCTGTGCTGCACCGTGCTGAATTGCGATGTGCAATGGCGCGATTGTGCTCTATAGCCTCGTGGATCGAGTCCTCCTTTGCATCCGAGTCCTGACCGAACTGATCTGGATCTTAAGCTCGAGCTGCCTGAACACATATTAGCTGCTCCAGAGCTAATTGGCAGGGGGACATGCCAGGAGGACGCGACGCGGAACGTCTCAAGGGACGCGCCAAGCGACGTGCCAAGGGACGTGCCATGGGGACGC